CTAAATTTTGCACTTTTAAATGATAATTTTAAGTTCAAAACAAGGTATCGTTGTCTTCAAAAAGATTGTAAAGAACCCTGAAAGTAGTTCATTGATAGCAGCACGTGGTCTATTTTTAGCACAGAATTTTGTTTTCCAGACCTCTTCTTAATATGGAGGGACATAACAATCTTTAAATGTAGAAGAGAATTACAGTTGCAAAATATTTCAAATAATATGAACACTTTTCAAAGAGGAATTGTGTTATAGTGTGGCTTGAAGTAATTTATTTATTATTATTATCGAACAGTTGTTAAATAGTGTACGTATTGAAATAAACTTTTTGATTATGATACTTGTTATGTTGCCCGGTGAAAGCAATTTGAAAAGGGGTTTGTTTTTAATTAAGCAATATGCTATCAAAGATCTCCAATTTACACTTTGAAAAATACTTGAATATTTCAACAATAATATAACTATCAAATACCTAAGATATCGTTTACTTTTGATCACCCCCCCCCCCCCCTATATACTCTGTCAAATAAACATTTACAATTTTCATTACAGCGGAGCAACATTTGAAAAGGAATAAAATCATTCAGAGTGGCTTAGGAGATTTAATGAATAATTCTTTTTTTCTATTTGCCCATTTTGTCAAAATTACAATTTTACAGAGTAAAGAAAAAAATCAACAAAATTAAATATTTTATACCATCTTTAAAATGACGTTTGGTGGATCTCTCAACTCAGGGAAAATTATTGGGTCCGTATTTATGGTGTGAGAAAACATTCCTTCAAATTTAAACATATTTGTTGACGGAAGAAAAAAAATCCTGTAATTGGATGTAAAATAAAATTGAGTCGGGCCATTTTTAGGCAGTAGATCGGGAGAGAGAGCAACCAAATATTTTTACAACAAATGGTCTTATAAGGCTAGTACATGTTCCATCACATACTTAGTAATGCAATTTTTTTAATCTTTGGCACTATTTTGAAAAAAGAACATAGGATTTTCGGAAGGGGGGGGGGGGGGTAGTCTCTCATTTTTTTGCGATGATAGACATAGCATATGCAATGGACCTTTGTTTGCAAACATTGTGATTGCTTCTAAATTTAAAAAAAAAACAACTCTATATATTTTATTAAGCTTCGTATGTTCAATGATCGAGAGCTTACAACGTAGTCAACATAATGAGACATGATGCGTTTTTATGTCCAAACATTACTCCATACGATGTGTTGGTCATTGCAAACAATCGAGCTATTTATGTGAGGTGCCTGAAGGAAATCCTTTAACTGCCTATTTTTTCTATCTAACTGCTAAACAAAATAGACATATGTACCAACTTTTCGATTGTAAGACATGTAATTGCAATTTGTTTTTCATGCACCGCATATTGTTTAACATTTTCAAATTAAATGCTAAGCATCCTCCTTGCAGTGCCCCATTTCAAAATAACTTCTATCGCCACAGAAAAAAAGGCCGACGTAAACACATATGTTTATGGCATTTTTTAGCTTTTTTCTTGAGTTTTAAAGAAACCAAAAAATTATCAAGACTTGTTCCACGAAAAATTAAATATAATCATAGTAATAAACGCATCTATGCACAGCAGATATATGCACATGTCAAACACGTGCTCAGTGTATTAATATTTACTAGGAAACTCGAGCTGTGAGCAGAACAGTTTTTCCCGATTTGCAGGAGTGGGGTTAAAATCGCGTTTTTTCATTAATCAGACGAAGCGATGCAACAAATAAAAGTAGTAAGTAATATTACCTAATGATTATTACTTAGTAATTTCTTGTCTTGATGTTTTTATGGTCGCATTTATTCTAAAATCAATGTTATTCGAACTCTGTGTGACAGAGGAATGGCGGACGAAATAAACACATGGCCTCAGGAAGACACACATATGAAAAATCAAATTTTCAAGAATTCTAGATAATGACAAGAAAAAAGGGAAACAAATGGTTGTAGCCATATTATCAATGAATCACACTAACACCATTTTCAATGCATTTTTTATCTCGTGAATGCTGTAGCTGCGCAGTTCTACAATGATTAATTTCCTCCTAATTAAAACAAAATAAACTTAATTATTTACTAATTTTGGTCTCTAACAGTAGGTAACTAGTGCATTAACACTTTGAGTAACTTTGGGCTAGTTTAGACGAGTATTAAGCGCATTCTCGGCATTTCTTATTTCACACCAGACTAGATCCAATTGGTTTGTACATCCCCCTTAAGCGGAATAGAATTTTTTAGCTTTCGTACGGATTTTCGATGAAATTATTTTCAGTACTACCCAAGCAGTCAATACTACATTGTAGCACCCAGCACTGAGAAGGGGAAGTAAACATATTTTATATGTAATATGTATCAATTATTTTCTTCAAAGGCAAGTATATGCCTGTGTTTTATCATCATTTCCTACATTCAGCTTAACAATGGTATTTTATACTAGTCACGTAACATACAGCTTATGCATGCATGCGATATAACTGATACTGTGTATGGCCCTGCCCTATTCATTAAGGATGGGTACATGTATATTGCATTTTCTAAATGTATCTAGTTACTTTGTTACAATTTCTAAAAAAAAAAAGAATTAATATTTAAACGATGCTAAGATCACATTTTCCATCATGGTTATTAACATAGCTTAGTGGTATGGATTATTTTAAAGTTCATAATCCGCCAAGCGGATTATAAAACAGCGTAAACTGACTTAAACCTGGTTATACTTGAATACTTTTGCCAAGAATTACAGCGTCTAATTTAATTTTAAAATCATCAAGCGACTGTTGATTTAAAATTTTGTTGCTTTCTATTAGTTCAAATTTTTCGAACAATAGATAAAACCAATGTCGTTTATTTTACAAATAAAGGCGGATGTGATGGGAAGTGATGGGATTTAAAACTGAAGCATAGAAATAGCAGTCATGTTGTTTCATTTAGATCGAGTATCTGTTTGAAGTTAAACTTTTATTAATTGAATCTGCAATTTTCCCGAGGAGTGGAAATGAAATGACTGCATAGATACAGATGAATCAGCTGATTATCAGTGAATGTAACCCCATACAAAACCGGATTATACATAAAAAAAAACTGTGTCACTTTTTAAATACAAACAAAATGTCATTTAATATAAAACCACCTGAAGATATGCTAAATCAACAAGCTTTCTAAGAAAAATGTATTCCCAGTAATAGCTATAATCCTCTAGCAATAAATGTATTTTGGTACCCATTAGAAATTAAAACTGAAATTTTACCATCAAAATATCATTGAAGCGGAACAAATCATAAATGTTATTTATGTTTCCTCATGCTGCACAATCTCACTGCAGCTCTGTTTTTGCTGAGTTATAATCAAATAAAATCAACACCATTGTTGAGATGAAATTTGTCATTTATTAAAATGACGAAATAAGAAAAAATATATACATCATATGATAGGGGATCAGATCAAAAGGTAATCGCACAAATACATATTAATGTACTGATCCCCTAAATTTACAGATAAACAATATTTGCAAAAAATATTAAAACAGTACGTATACAGCAAAAAGATGGCACTACAAAAACAAATATGCCAATGTGTCAAATATAGTCTTTATATCAATTTAAAACATATAAATGCAAGGTAGGAAAAGCTGGGGTGGTAGTGGGTGTGCCAAATTCTTCTCTGTTATTGATAGCGTCAACAAAGCGAGAATGATCCAGCGTTGACTGGTCAGTTACAGACAGCATCAAAACACGTGATTATGATGGACACATCTGATTGACTGATTGTCTACGAAGGGGTCAGGTTTGACCATGGAAAAGTTTGGAGTTTCATAACAAGCATCCGAAAATGAAGAACTGGGGAAAATTACATAACATGAAACCCGACACCTTTAAAAAGGCCAAGGAGAATTCCAGAAAATGGAGAAAAGCATTCAGTTTGAATAATAAAATAGGACATCTAATTACTAATGTTTAGACAAAAGAAAATAAACAGCATTCAACACATAAATGAAATTTACCTAATTGTTGTTTTATACCTGAACAAGTTAAACTTATATGCCGAAAGCCTATTTAATATTTTTTAAGTTTTTCGGAAAAAATGATATAAAATCCAAAACACATTTTGAAAGCAGTTATTCCATTGAAAATATTATTGAACCAGAATGAAAAGAAAACATTGTCTGTTACTAATTAATGTTTACTGAAATACTAAAATCTCAGCTTTAAGTTAATATCTGCAAGCCTACATTAAAATGCGAAAGAAAAAGGACCTTTGCATACTGATAGACAATTCGAGGAAGTGATTGATTGTATATTCTTTTTCCCCCCTTAAAAGAACGTTTCACTTTTACCGAGATTTTGAATTGCTTGAAAAAATATTAGTTCCAATATTTTCATATGACTGTAATTCATCACATGTATGTTATGGTAAAACTGAAATTATCGAAAGAATACATCTAATGTAAGACTTTCTTGCTTTAAAAAAATATTACAGTGGGGAAATATGCTATGCCTCTTTAGCAACATAATTATTTATTGTTATTATTATGATATTGTACATGTATCACCCAATACATGTTCATCATTTTAAGCAAAATGTGGATCAGACAAATCGCTATTTAAAATCGTATTCAAACAAGAACGAAAAATAATCTTCGTAACAAAAACATTTTTTTTGCAATTAATCGGTGTTCAAATTCCCACATCTTTTCTCTCACTTCTTTCTAAAAAGATTATTTGTTCGTGTTGGAAAACTTGATATTTGAAGATTCTTAATATATGGTAAACAGTAGTCAGTAATATAGACAAAGTCAGTAAAAACTATGTATTACATTTCTCACCACTTCGCGAGGTTATATTTGTATTATTTATCTTACGAATAAACTATAAGTCAGAAGCACAAGGTGTAGATAAAAATTTAAAAAGTATAAAAACTTCTTTGCTAACAATTATACAGTTTACTTCTATTTTTATTCTTTTGGTTTAGAAAAGGTATGCAATAGTCATAAATTATGTACACATGTACATATGAAATACAGCATGCAGAAGGAACGTCCTTGCATAGGTTTAACTAATTTTAGGATTTTGAAACACTAAAGTTATAAGGTCAGTAGTCTAAAAATATTTTACACTTTGTCTGAGTGAACGATAAGTTCAATCTCTGATTCTGGAAACATGTTGACATCTTCCTTCTTTAAGTCGTATTTACGTCTACAGAAATGATCAGTGATAGCAGCGCAGATAAAATGACTCTCAACATTCGATCCCGTTCTGAGGCGGTCACTATAGACAGAAAAAGCAGACACAAAATGTCATAAAATACATAATTATGTATATTTTAGTCAAACACTTGTTTTTTACAAAAATGAACCAAATCGACTCACAACCTGAATAATTTATTATGAAACTACAGTCTTCAATGCACTGTCTTGAATTTCTACTCGCACTTTTTATACAAATATAGTGAAAATTTTAATATGAAAATATACAAATGATGCATATGTACATGTATTGTTGTGGAAAAGTTACTTACAGAAACCACTCAACAGCAAACAAGATAGAAACCTCGTTTACCGGAACGTTAATGGCAGAGAGTACAACAACAACCACTACCATACTAGCGCTAGGCAATGCCGGTAAGGAAAGTGTCGAAAAAGCTGTCAAAATTCTACAATGATAATTAAGAAAAACGCTATATAGTACTATATGAATCGATCAATATATTGCTTACAAAACATGTAATCATGAGAACTATTCAATTATTAAATGATGATACCCTGATTATGCTACACTATGAAGTGAAATAGAACCGATATGAAAGTGCAACACGTTTAAGCAATGTATCATCTTTAGGTTCTTAAACCCCTGCTTTCTTATCTAAAATGTTACAACTTTAATGATTTTGCAAATTAAAGAAATGGATTTCATCAGTAAAAAACAAACAATTATAGCATAACTTGTTGAGCAAAATTGGACAAAAAAGACATATCGACTTAACAAATCTATTAAGGAACAACAGACTTTTATGTCACCAGGGGATATCTCTCTTATTACATTATCAATGAAGCTTAAAAGACATACCCTATTATTATGACATTTCCATACGTCAAGGTATAGCCCGAAATTTGTGCAATGAACATAGAAGCAGCTGAAATAAACAGGGCACTGCCATCTGCATTTGCTGTACAGCAAAGAGGTATGACAAAACGTGTGATCCGTTTATCCAATTTATTAACATTTTCACAGGCTTGCAATAAGTCAGGCATTGCAAGGGCTCTGAAAAGAATATTTTTATAAAAATTAAAAACAAAAGGTTTGCTCACCAGGAAGTCAATATCATATTTATTTTCAAAATCTAATTGAGCTTAAAACCATGATTCCACTTTGTATTTGATGATGTGGAATATTTTCCCAACGCTATCAAAACCATATATGTGCTAATCAAGCAACAAAATATGAACATTTGAATTAAAATATACGGAGGGTATAACACAATCCAAAAATAAAAGGGAAAATCAAAATTCCCTTTTTTCACCCAAGGTTTACAATCTGAAGTCATTTTGGTCTTAATATCCTTATATGTGTCTCCACAAGTTCCCTTTTTGAAGATTTTTTTAAAGTATTTGAGGAACGTTCTTTCTACACTTCAGATGCATTTGTTATGACCAGAGATTTGAGGAACGTTCCTCTCTCTGACATTTAGATGCATTTGTTATGACCAGACATTTGAGGAACGTTCCTCTCTCTAAACTAAGATGAATTTATTATAACCAGACATTTGAGTAACGTTCCTCTCTTACATGTGCACATACCGGGTGTATTTTTAAATACTTTAAGAATTTTAACACATGAGACATTTGAGGAACGTTCCTCTTTCCGAACTTCAGATGCATTTGTTATGACCAGAGATTTGAGGAACGTTCCTCTCTCTGATCTTTAGATGCATTTGTTATGACCAGACATTTGAGGAACGTTCCTCTCTCTAAACTAAGATGAATTTATTATAACCAGACATTTGAGTAACGTTCCTCTCTTACATGTGCACATACAGTGTGTATTTTTAAATACTTTAAGAATCTTAACACATGAGACATTTGAGGAACGTTCCTCTCTCAAATTCACTTTTTTCTGAAGACATCTCATGAATGGTCAAACATCAGGCATTAATTATTACTGTAGGCATCTCAAGGATTGTCAAATATCAGGCATTTGAGGAACGTTCCTCTCACAAATGGTTGTCTCATGAATTGTCAAACATTAGGCATTTGAGGAACGTTCCTCACTTAAATTTAACATTGTTCACACAGGATACTTACATGTATGAGGAACGTTCCTCTCTCAGATTTGTATATGTCTATACCTTAATCATATTAAACCAGGCATTTGAGGAACGTTCCTCTCACAAATGGTTTTATTTCTGTTGATTACTTATACCTCATGAAGCTTGCAACCCGTGCATTCGAGGAATGTTCCTGTCTTTTAATGGATATCTGTTGATACATTACAAAGCCCACTTAAAAATAACTTTGGAGGAACGTTCCTCTCTAACATTATCATGTGTTTTGTGATATTATATCAGTTTTTATCGTACATGAAGAATTTGGGAAACATTTCTCTTTTTTATATGAATTGCAGTACATATTCATAGAAACATTTTTATCTATACACACTCTAAAAAATATATATGAAAAATCAATTTGTTTTTTTATAATGTACTTTTTGAATTCAGGCTTTCTTAAAGCATAATATAAACAAGGTACAGGAGCAAACAAATATTTCAATTCGGAACAAGCATGTGCAATGTGCAGTGTTCATGTATCAACACAAAGGGCTTTTTCACTGAATGGCAGTGGGATCACATATTACAATGTCTTGGTTAACAGGTTAATACCCACAGTATTTTTCCTTTCTACCATGAAATTAAACCAAAATTGTTGATGAAGGTCAACCATGTTTCTTTGTCGGTTACATCTTTCCCTCATAATAGAGACGATTCCAATTCCTTGGTCTCCAAAGGTTCATAGCATTTTTTCATCAGTCACAGTAAAACAGCCTCAACAAATTTCTTGGGTGTCATCTTCTGTAGGAAAAAATCTCACATTCAGTACAGCGGCATGTCGTATTATCAAAGATGTGATTCAGGCAAAGTTAGAATAATCCAAACAAATTGAATGTGTACATAATAATAAATTTTGGTGTCTCATCTAAAAATTAAATAGACTGGAAAAATCGATAAAAAAAAATTGCAAAACTTAAATTAAAATGTTGAACTTTAAATTGCCCATGAATTATGAAAGCATTTCCATACTGTACTAAGAATATTGCAAAATTGACACTTTCTATCTTTCTCATACTATTTTAATGAAATACTGTAAATGTTTTATATTTAGAGTGTACAATATTTGGCGGAAATTGATATTTTAACAAGTTAGCGTAGGTTTGATTTAGCGCATTTTATTGTTCATTTAGCATTGTACTTATATTAGCAGATGTTTCTTTCCGCCAAAAACGCTAAAAAGAATACACCGCCAAATGTTACACGTTTACAGTAATATTACTCTGATTTGCAAATTTTGTCTGAGAAAAATAATTCTCCTGTATATCTTGCATGTAACACTAATTTAAAAACTAAGTGTCAATTGGAAAATGTAAATTAATATAATATATAGTTCTTAAGCCCCATACTCCTCCAATGAACATTTTATATACATGTATGATAATATAAGTCATCACATTTTTAAAAGTTTAATTTATTTCTCCTTTTCCACAGTACATGCAGCTGTCAAATAATATTTCATGGGTTTTATTAATGTATTCGTTTATTTACAAGAACCTATTTTCATCTGAATCTCAATTCGTATTATATTGTAGTACTATTGTGTATTTCTTTAAACCAAAGAATTGATTCTATAATAGGGATTTGTCTAGTGACCCTAATTCCTGCATCATTCTTTACTTTAAAGATAAAGACTTTGAGACCTTGATGTCTTCCTGTCCCCAGTTCACATTGTAATTGTTATTAATCACTGCCAATCATATGCTCATGGAACACTAGCTATATAAGGCGATCAGCTCTGGCAACTATCTGTCCCCTGTGACTTCATGGACAGTAAAGATCATGCAGTGCTGATCATGGCTGATGCTATGATGACTTGATCGTGTTATAGATAAACATATCTCTGCAGTCAGAAGATTGTAGCAATTTACATTGTAGAACAGAACTCAAACAGTGAGAGAATTTTAGATCTTGGTAGAGTTTTAAATTTTATTCCCTTAAAATTTGAATAAATTTCAATATATTTAAAAAACAAAAAATGTAATGAAATTTCTATACACTGTAAAACTTTACTAATTATTCTGGTTCGGGAATAACAAATTTCAGGCTAAAATCTGGTTTGTACATATTAAATGCAAAGAAATATTCCACATAATTATTTTGTAAAAAAAAAAAAAAAAAAAAAAAAAATATTATAATAATAATGTAAAAACAGCATCTCCTGCAATTAATTTTCAGATCTAAAGGAAGCAGGAATAAGAATCCTTATTTCAAAAAAAAACAAAAAAAACCCTTAAAAAATGTTTTATTGATTTAGAATATTTTATTAAATTATTAGCACATGTATTAAAAGAAATGTTGTACTGAGTAATACAGTTATACAATTGTTTGTTTTATTGATTGGCTATTGCTCATCTTCCTTCCCCTTTTCAAAGTTAGATACCTTGATAATGAAACTATCTTTGATTTAATTGTTAATTTCAGAAACATGCACACTGAATTTCACAGATTTCCTTTATCTTGGATTGCAGTGTGGGTAATTTGGGATTAAATAATTTAGCCAGCTGCAGCAAGGTCAAAAGTCTGTTATCTCATCTTCGCTAGCCAAGGGTTTCTGATACGCTACTCTCATGAGGAGAGTATCGTATCAGAAACCCTTGGCTAGCGAAGATGATGTTATCTGTAAACTTGAGGTCAATTTATATAACCCTGGTCTTAGCAGTTTTCATTATGTAGAAATAATCTAAGAAAATTTTCTTCAACTCTTTGAAATTACATTCACCAACACTGGAACACTGAGTTTCTAGGAATAAGAATTTCATTGGTGTACATATCAGGCATGTGTTGTAAAAATGAATCTCTCTAATGAAACTGAATATTGCATTTTTTTCTCCGCTTTAACCTAATAAATAAAAAATAACAAAATTACGGTTATATGCATAAAATGATTGAAGTATCAACAAGTGAAACTGTAACTCGTATTTTTAGTAATACTATTTTTCTTTTATCAGGGACCGGACACTGAGTACACAAGACATGATCTGCCGATCGACCATACATATAACATCTATAACTAATGTACAATTTTTTTTAGATCTGAATTATTAATACTTATTTATAATTAAATAATACATATACTTAAGTTATTGTTAAAGTATTTAACTAATCCTTAACCATAGGTATATGTAGGAATATAAACAAGATACCACCTTTGGATTTTTTTTAAAGAATAAAATATATTTTTCAGTGGGATAGTGATGAATGACAACTAAAAGAAACTTCATATTCACTCTATTTTTGACTGCATTCCATTTTGATTAATATTAAAAATCTGTTCAAACAATTAATGCAATACATAAAATGTGAGTTTGTATTTAATTATAATTACTTTTTTTTTTTAGAAAAGATTAATACATAGAATGACAAAAAACCCCTTTGAGATAAAGGTTTTGTTATAAGTGTTTCTTTAAATTGTACACGGGTACTCAAGCCTTGATCATAATCCTTGCAGTTGACAACACAACAAAATATGCCTAGAATTTTTATGAAATTAGAAAAAAAAACTTCCCGGTAAATTGTTTCAAAAAAGTTTTTAAATTTTTATAATTAGTTTTTTTAAATTTTATCCTTATTATTCTAACCGCAGCATATAGTTTAAAAGGATACAATGTTGAGGATATTAAATTATTGAATTTGCGTTTTTTTACCATAATATTTCAAGATAACCAATTTATACATGTAGTAAAATTTTTAACATGTTTTTATAGCAGGGTATGATATTAGACAAGGTCACTATATTGCTAGCAAAGAAAAACACATGATTTCAATATATTAAGTACATGTACTCCTGTTCATACACACAAGTGATAGAGCTAACGATATCTTGAGAAAGAATAAACATTTGACCAGTGACCACTTAGTGCAGCCGATGAAGCGATAATTGTCTCAGAGTTTAAGATTTCAGCATTGGCCATACATAAACAAACTATACGGATCTGTTTCATCTAAACACATTAATTCTTTGACACACTAGATTATTCCTTTGAGTCTCGTTAAGTGTGTTCTGCTCTACTCTAAAACCATCAGAATTAACATTGCTGAGCATCTAGTGAAGCACGGATAATTTTTGGATTGAACTAGGTGAAACACAGCTATTGTTCTCTTTATCAAATCAATTAATGTTTGATTACAAAAAAAAGACACTGACTTGGCATATAAGATATACCAGGTCTGTCCAAAACGTTAATTCAAAATAGAGTGTACGTCTCTTATCATCCTGTATAGTTAATACATGGACATGTTAAATCATGCCAGTTTACAAATTAAAAAAATATACCCGGTAATACAAATTAAAAACACTACATAAATATGTATATTTTGCATATTTTAGAAAGTATATAGGATAAGTTCAGTGGCAAGGGGGGGGGGTATTTTTAAGGAGCATATTCTCAATCAAAGTTTCCTGTGTTAGGAAGCAAAAAAAAATTAGTATGGGCACGGATTCCACCCATCTCTACTCCCTCTCCCCATAGAATAAATAAAGTAATTGAGATAAGTAAATGATGAATAATAAAAAGATTTTAAAAAATACAGTAAAACACAATTTTTGCCAACACACTTATGTTGAATTGAGTTACAGCGAAGTGCTTTTATTCACTGTGACTTAATTATGTATTTTTATCTTCATAACGAATTTCGCTCATAATAATGCAAAATCATCCGTCGATCCCTGGCACTGCTTTTAAACATGTTTAACTTGTATTCAACATAATTAATCTATTTCCTGCCATGTACAGCATTTGATAACATATATTATATAGGAATTCATAGAATTTCTAATTTTCCCAACCAATAATGAAAATTATGACTACTTACTTGATTTGTTTAGGAACTTTAATCATTTCTCTGAAATGTTGCTGCAAGTGGTGTCATGAGGGTATTCGTTTTCTTTTACATTGAAATCCAGGGCATATCATTTTATCCCAAATCAAAAGTGGTCATATATTTCTTAGGAGGACTACAGATCTAGTGCATTAAATTATTTTTCAAGCATTAGAATCTCAAGTTACTTAAATATTGAGTAAACAATACTTTTCTATTTCTAGATCAGTTTGAGCCTTGTGCTTTTCACCTTGTAACCCAAAATCAGTAGGGGTCTATATTCCTTGGGGAGTACCAGTATACTAAGTTTGATGTCTGTAAAGCAAAGGCTTCCCCAAATTTTAAGCAGACATTATTTGTGTCAGAATAGTCTCAACCTTGAAATTTGACTTTATGAAATCAACAGGATTATCTACTCTTTTACGTTAGGGAGTACCTTGGTGTACAGCTTTCTTTAAATCCAGTTCTCCTCTGATTCATGTATAAAGTTATATAATAACATTTGAAATCAGAAGAGGGGTATTCAACATGAATCCATTGTCAACAGTTGGAAGAGAAATGTTTCTCCAGTCCAATGTCAAATTTTGAAATGGGGAGAGGAACGTTCAGTGTATTAAGATTCATGGTTGTAGTGTTTTTGATAGAATTGGTAGAGGAACGTTCCTCAAATGTACTGTTTATATAAATGTAGTATGTATTATCAATTGAAATTGACTGATTGACTTGTCATACCAAATGCACCAGAAGTTCAGAGAGAGGAACGTTCCTCAAATGTCTGGTCATAACAAATGCATCTGAAATTCAGAGAGAGGAACGTTCCTCAAATCTCTGCTCATAACAAATGCACCAGAAGTTCAGAGAGAGGAACGTTCCTCAAATGTCTGGTCATAACAAATGCATCTGAAGTTCAGAGAGAGGAACGTTCCTCAAATGTCTGGTCATAACAAATGCATCTGAAGTTCAGAGAGAGGAACGTTCCTCAAATGTCTGGTCATAACAAATGCATCTAAAGATCAGAGAGAGGAACGTTCCTCAAATCTCTGGTCTTCACAAATGCATCTGAAGTGTAGAAAGAGGAACGTTCCTCAAATACTTAAAAAAATCTTCAAAAAGGGAACTTGTACACACACATATAAGGATTTTAAGACCAAAATGACTTCAAATTGTAAACCTTGGGTGAAAAAAAGGGAATTTTGATTTTCCCTTTTATTTTTGGATTGTGTTGTATGTAAAATATATTGACTGAAACATTATATGCTTTCAATTTATTGAAATGTACACTTACGATGACCCGAAAGAAAAACCCATTAACCAGGCCCGCTTTACACTAAGGATACGTTTGTAGGGATTTTCGCGAAAGAATGCAAAATATATGAGTGGAAGAAGAGTGGTCTGGAGGATAACGATGCCCGAGGTCACTGTCAACACGAAGTATCCCAGGCTTACAAACGTCTCAGTGATGTCACGGGTACCTGCTAAAGAGGCAGCCGTGAGACTCGCCACGCCTACTGGGGTCAGCCTTAAAATAAAAAAAAAACGCTTATAATTTAAAAAGAACTTTTTACCAGATCAATACCGTCCTTTATGAACAGGTGGTCTTCATTCATTATGTAACATAGGCTATTTAGAAATCAAGCTAAGAAAGTAAATTTTGGTAATTTATATTTCTTAAAATACAAAAAAGGTTTTATTTTATGCACAAGAAATTTTTTTTTTCTCTGGAAGGGCTGATTTATAATAATCAAGAAGGACATGAAAAAAATAATAATGATAATCACTTCAAAAATAAAAGAAATATCTTTTTAATTTTTCTTAGGAATTTTAATGTTTTCACAGGTTTATATGAGTACTTTTATAGAAGAAAAATAATATGAGCGCACCCTCTGATCTAAAAAATAAAACATGTCTTGTAATCCTTAGGAACAGTTGTATCATTTTCTATTTGCATATTTTAGTTCAGAGGTTGCACTCTATATAAAATATCGAAAAATAGTTTTAAAAATTGGCCGTTTTGTAGACTTTTTCATTCAGACTTTACGTTATTTTAATAGATACGCAGTCACTAAAGATCTGAGTATTAATTCAATGCATTGTAAACTAAAACTAAAGAGTTTCAATTTTTCAGAAATTCACAGGGCCAAAAAGGCAAAAGTGAACGTTGTTCTTTAGATACCATTAGCATATGAAACAAATTATAGATATATTTTTAAATACCAGATAAACCATCTAAGAATTTGCAACACGATTTCAGAACTCATTGCAAAGAAATCAATAAATGTTTTGGCCTTTTCTCTGAATCTTCCCGCAGCAATCCCAATCAACAAGCAGGCAAATAACAACCCTAAGAAAAGATACATTAAAAAAATGCTAACACATAAACGGATGAAATTTGTTGTAAACAACAAAAAAAAAAGAGAAAAAGGAAGCTCAATATTAGTTCTATATGTATGGATATTTGGAAACAATAAAACAGATTAAACTCATATTTTAATTTCTAATTTATACAGGGTTATTTTTGCCACAGTAAATTTTTGCCCTTTCAATCTTGTAAACAATGTTGGCCAGTCACTCTTTTGTTTAAGAAAGTATACTGTATTCTTTGAATGCTTTAAATTCGTTCGACTAAGGTTAGGGTGAAAGGGGTTAAAATTTCCCTGTATAAAAGATGTTACCAAGTATATTTGGTCCATCTGTTTTGCCAACAATCTTCACCATTTCCAATTTTTGATTTACATCTGCAGTGGTATTAGACGAATTACCAAGATTCTTTTGATTACTCCAGATTATTTCAGACTTGAATTGTGTTTGTGTTTTGCGAAAAGTTGCCTCAACTAGGTTGTCTGGTATGATATTTCTGTCAAATGATTTAAAAATAAAGAGTTATGAACATGTAATATTATACACTGTATATATTGAAGAGGAATGTATCATACGTAAACTACTTAAACTTAAGGAATCTACACGTAACTTGAAATATTCTAATCATTTACTAGTAGTCATGAATAAGCCTCGTACAATTTACTAAAAACGATTTATAATCCATGAATACCTCAGTAAATCTGCAAAAATATCTTGTGGCCGAATTTTGTTTAGCATTAATCTATCTTCATGAGCAACATGGGCCTTTCCTACAGATAAATGCATAATATTGAAAGTAAAATTAAAAGACAAACGAAACTTTCCCCCATAAGTATTATTCATTCTGAACATCAAAGATTTTCATTAAATTAGCATCATTCTTTGATAAAACCTATGAATCAAATTGAATTCCCCTTATATAGAGCACAAATGATGAGTTTCGTATTGGTAAAGAAGATTCCAATCTGACAATCTTTATAATATACTTAAAGTAAAGGGTTGATCCAAAAGTAATGTCATAACTTTGATAAAGTTGGAATAAATCGACGTAAAGCAACAAAATTATACAAGATGGAAGTTTTTTTTTATTTTAAATCAGACCTGAAAATTTCAAAGGAATATGATGTATACTTTCCAAAATATAGGATTTTAAACAATGTGCGTTTATGGTAGTCACCGCACCTATGTATAACGTCATATGACGGGTACGCACCTTCATACATTTAAGCGTTTCCCCTTCGTTTCATTAAAAAATATTTGTGAGTCGCAAACACGCTAACCAATTGTCTTTAAGAATTACCGGTACCGTTATACACTCACTCTCTTTATAATGAAGCCCTCTGTCAAAATATTTTAAACAGTACACTGTAGCATATTAAAGACAAACTTAAAAATTAACATGCCACTCTATACGTCTGTCTTTTTTGACAACGTCAGACATCATTGAACGTTTCCGTCCGATCACTAATATTTCGGTCTTCCTGTCCTCTGCTGATCATTCAGTGACCAATCACCCGCCACAAATTCCTGAAACATCTATTAAGATGTCTCTTGTTTAAAATCTTAATTCTATAAGTCTGATTAATTAACGTAGCTTTCGCTTGTGATAATTCCCGTTTTTTAAAAGCAAAAATACATTACAACTCGTTGAACCGTTTATTTTTTATTTCGACAATCCCTTTGTTCAATTCAACAGAGTAAAACAACTATGTTTATGATCACAAAAACGAATGCCATCATTTAATTTTCAAATACAGACTAGAAAATGACGAGAATTGTGTCTTTTAAAAATTTGGGAGATAAGGTGCATTTTTTAGAATCTTTAAAATGTGTTTGTCTTTTTCATTCTAAGAAAAAATACACGTTAAAACGTGACGCTACGTTGTGACACGGCGACACCCCCTATACTTTATGCTTTAAACATCTATAAAATAAATCCAAATGAACATTATTATATCAAAATTTCAGTGTTAATTAGATTTATATTTGTGATTATTTTGATATATTGTATTTGAAAATCTGACGCCAAATATTAAAGATTTGGACACTGTGACATTACTTTTGCATCAACCCTCGTATATCAAAAGCATACATTTTCAAACTGGACGGAAATTTTATTGAAAATGTCTTTAATTTCTCATTTCAAATATTTCACGATTCCAGATTGCGTGGTTTTCCCTTTGCGGTAATCGGGATGGTAAATTCTAAAATTCAGATAAAATCTAATTATATACTGATAGAAAAACTAACAATAAGTCGAGATTGTTATCTTTTTCCTGGGAATAGGATAATAAGATTTGAAAATTTAAAGATAAGTGAATCTTACTTTGACAAAGCAGAGATATTATTGGTGTTTTTTTTTTCGAGGAAAATTTTTTGATCGCAAAAATAGTGAAATGAAACACTGCAATATATTCACTTTTTACGGGACTAGTTTTTGAATTTTGCAATTTTAATTTGAACCTAATAACCTTTTTCAAAAAACAAAAACTGTTTATGTACCTGGTTTAATGATATAAAAAAGTGTTATGGCAACCACACATCCCATCAAGTTTGTAAGTAGTATGTACGTGATGGATATAAGTCCTATCCTACCGTTAGATCTTGGATCCAAAGAAGCTGTGCCTAGTAAAACAAAAAGTAAATTGCAATTAAAGGCAAAAAGTGCAATTAAGTGCATTCACTTTAATAAACACATTATTAACGTACCCGCCTAATTAAACGTACAGATAAATTTTGAAAATATTTTTTTTTAAATAATAATTTTATATACTCATTATATGAGGTAATGATAGCATTTGATTTTAAATTATAAATTATTTCTCAATTTCTCAAGAGTAAAATCCCAAATTTACATTTAAAAAAAGTTAAAAAAAAAAAACAACAATTGTCAGATTTGTTTTCTTAAAACTAAATAGATATTTCAAACTACGAGGGAAAATACTTACTGTGTATGACGCTGGTTATTATGAGCGGGACTATCATCATTTTTAGCGACCGCATGAAAAGATCGCCTGGCATACCTTCAAATATATTAGATTATATCAGTCATCTTTCATCGTACAGTAGCCCCGTGGGGATCCGGTTTAGAATAGGTCCTCAGTACCCCCTTGCATATCGTAAAAGGCGACTAAATGGGGCGGTCCTTCGGATGAGACAGTACAAACCGTGGCTCCGAATCACAGCAGGTGTGACACGATAAAGATCCCTCCCTGCTCAATGGCCCTGAGTGCCGAACATAGGCCTAAATTTTCAGCCCTTCACCGGCAATGGTGACGTCTCCATATCAGTGAAATATTCTGGAGAGGGACGTTAAACAGTATACAATCAATCAATCAATCATCGTACAGTATTACATTTCTCAATTTCTACATTCTGGGAATGGCTAAGCCAATCTCTTCTTCGGTCTAATAATACATGAAATATAATTTGCATTTGTCAAAAACGCAGTACTTAAATTCACCAAAAAGAAAAGAAAAACATAAACCAATAATTACAATTAACACGATGCAAAAGGAGAATTATGAATAATTTTTTTTAACATAAAGGAAAAAGGCATGGCATTTTGATTGTTCTTTTGTTGTTTAAAGTCCCTCTTGAGAATCTCACTCATATGGGACGCCACCACTTGCCAGTGGAGGGCTATAAATTCTGATTTATATACTATAGGTATCCAAAGCCATTGAGCATTGTGGGATCTTTTTCGTGCCAGTACTTGCACTTGCTTTGCTCTGTACGACCTCAACCGAAGATCCGGTTTCCATGTTCCACAGGGGTGGAGTAGGTGGTAGGGGTTGGGTGGTGGCACGATAGAAAACATAATATGAACTTGAATTCACTTAGAATAAAAAAATCTACCGTGTATTTCAACTCCACAGCTACAATAGTTTCCTCTTTTTATATATTAAACACTTGATTATTAATTTTTAATGTAAACATACTTACCGATCCATTGTATAACATCTCTAGAAGGCCTAGCTTCACGAATTCCAAACCCGATTATAAATCCCAGAATGACTGCCAGAAAAGTCAAAACAAAGAGAAGCTGTCCATGTAGGATTCGTCGAATGTTTTGAAAACAGGAGTTTCTCGTCTTTCCACCAGTTTTCATTTGGCTCTTCATCATCAAAGAGAACACAGATATAAAGATGACAATTTTAAAAAAGAAATTGTGAAGGGATTTTATTATTTTTATCATTTCGTCTATCTAAATTCATGAGGAGAATTAGAAAAATGAAATTTGGAATTGAAAAAAGAAATATTTACTTTTTACTATTTGATATCTTAAAGTGTAAATGAGACATAGGCCAAGGTATTCTCGTGTGATCTCTAAATCTTAATTTATTGTCTTTTTTTAATTTAGAGAAAAATATCAATGTTCAATAAATGTATGATTAATCTTACAAACATTCAAAAATGATATCGTTATAAGATATCATTAAATGTTTATGATGTCACAATCTAAAAATGACGTCAATGTGTAAACGACATTTGACTAAGGATTGGGTGATTCAGTCGTATTTAAGTGGGGAATGGCAGTGAAGATTACTGTAAAACTTGGTTAATATATCTTTGCAGTTGCATATTATAATTTGTAAATGATTGTTTAAGACAAATAACTTGGAAGAAATTTAATCATTGATTGTTTTGAGTGATTTAATGAAGTCAGGGAAAAGGTTGAAGTGACGTTTTCCCTGGTACCCCTTGTACCTGAGCTTTGGATAGATATGTCGTTAATTGAGAATTAGTTATCAAAGATCGCCCATTTGCATTTAGAAAAAAAAGGTTGAATATCTTTTTTTCTTGTCTAAAATGAAGTTTACATATAGTTTTAAATATATCAGATATGATAAAGAGAAGAGACCTTAATTGATTCATCCATTGAATAAATGACGCATCCGAGATAGAGAAGTCGGTAATTGATGGTCACAATATGCTGATTCTTGGCATAAGAAGAAAACAAAACGTTGAAAACTAAATAACATCGCCATTCTTATAAAGTTATTGTAAAGATATAGTATTAAAGAATTATTTATGCACAATCAGTTGAGGAGAAAAGGTAGTTCGTTTGTTGAAATCATAAAATTCATCTTTAAATATCAAACTAATGTTTGAATTAATGAAAAGCTTTATTTGTGTGTTCTATTAAATAGAAAACAAGTTGAAAATCAGTCAGCGTAAACGATAGAAGATATATCTTTTATGTCGCACAATTAAGTAGAACCAACAGAGGATGAAAATGAAAAATGAGTTTTTCAATTTACAGTGAAACTGTATTGTGTAGAAAATAATGCATGCCTTCAAATTACTTTGCACTTGGAATCACTTGTTATGCATGATATTATGAGGGTTGATCCAAAAGTAATGTCACAACTTTAATAAAATTGCTATAAATCGACGTAAAGCAAGTAAATTATACATGATGTAAGCTTTATTTATTTCAAATCAAACCTGAAAAATTTAAAGGAATATGATGTATACTTTTGAAAATATCGGATTTTAAACAATGTGCATTTATGGTAGTCGCGCATCTAAAAATAACGTAATATTACGGATACGCACCCTCATACTTTTAAGCGTTTCACTTCGTTTCATTAAAAAATATTTGTGATTCGTAAACACTTTCACCAATTCCACTTTCTTTAAGAGTTCTTGGTACCATTATACACTCACTCGTTTCATACTTAAGTCCTCTCTCAAAATTTTTTGAACAGTAGCAAAGACAACTTAGAAATACAAATATGCATGTCACTCTATACGTGTGCCATTTTTTACGTCAGACAACGTTTCCGTCCGATCTCCTGTTTTTCGGTCTTTTTGTCCTCTGCTGATCATGCAGTGACCAATCACTCGCCCAAAATTGCTGAAACCATCTATTAAGGTGTCTCTTATTAAGATTCTTTATTCTGTAAGTCTGATTAATAAACGCTACTGATGATTCTCATATTTTGAAGCAACAAATGCATTACAATTTTTCGAGCCGTTTTTTCCATTTCACCAATCCCGTTGTTCATGAAATGCAACAGAGTAAAACAACAATGTTTATGATTACCAATGCCGTCATTTAATTTTCAGTTAAAGACTAGAAAATGACAAGAATTGTGTTTTTTTAAAAATTGGGAGATTGCGTGCTTTTTAGATTTTTTTTCAATGTGTTTGTCTTTTTCATTCTACACAAAAATACACTTCAAATCGTGACGTTCCGTTGTGACGCGGCGACATCCCCTATGCTCTATGTTTTAAACATTTATAAATTAAATTAAAAAAAGAACATTATTAAATTAAAATTTCAATTAGATTTATATTTGTGCTTCTTTTGGTATATTATATTTGATAATATGACGCCAAATATAAAAGATATGGACACTGTGACATTACTTTTGGATCAACCCTCGTATTTCACGCAAAGAATATTTGAAAATACTCGTTATTCGGTGTAAATTGCTTAATTTCTCCATTTTTTTTTTCATTTAAAGAAATAGATTTAAAATCCGTACATTCATGTCAAATTAAAAAAAAATTGTGTTACTGTTGGTATGCTTATAGATAGCAGAAGAATTAAGTATGCCAAAGAAGTAACTTATTTACGCCAAGAAAAGTCCCCAAAAATATAATTCATGATATGTTGTTTATAAACCTTCTCGAGAATATGTCACTCTTATGGACCGGAGTCGCCGCTACATGCCGATGGAGAGCTGCAAATTTAGTCCTGTACTGGACACTTACGGCAAATGAGCAATTTTTATAAGTAGGAATCTTTTTCGTGCCAGCTCTTACTGCGGCACGGGATCTTGGTTTTTACGGTCTAATCCGAAGGACCGATATCCACGTCCCACAGAGGGATTCGAACCCGCGACGTTATGATTAACTCCCTACTTCGTGACTGCAGAGCAGACGACATGATCGCTGCGCCACGAAGGCGACCAATAATCTACAGGAGAACAAAAATTAGATAAACTTTTAAGTTTTGTTATGCGGTAGTTTTGTGAATTTGCAGAATTACTTGTTATTTCTAACAAAGAATGTCGTCTGCACCCAGTAAATCTAAATAATCTGATCCATGTCTTTTTCAAAATGTTCAGTATATAAATACGATATTTAATGCCATGTATTTAAATAAACATTCAAAATTATTTCTCAGTTCCTATGAAGTTTATAAAACATGGTTATAAAATTTGTATCATTAGTACCCTTATGATCTTACCTTCATCATTTGAATCGATAGAGATGTGTGTACACCCGTCCTTATTTCAGAACATATGTCCTATGTTACAGGCATTTACAAAGATGTTTTCAATGAAGCAGATCATGCAAGGATAATTTATTTAAGCTGAGCCCTGATTTTAATAGCATCTAAAATTTAAAGCATTCATTCAATGCTTTTTATGTTTCATTAAATATTGGTCAAGCATGTGTGAGAAATAAAGTACAATTTGAAAACATATCGATATTTTAACACCTTTTAAAGTTTTTTTTTAATGTTTTTACTCCAAATTCAGATGTGTCTGATAAAAAGATGGAGTGAAACATAATTTGCCAGCTTAATATTATTATAATTGATACTAAAATATATGATTGAGGGTTATAGGGTTCTAGGGTCAATGCAGTTTTTACCATCTGTCTATCAAAGATAAATTCTTGCGATTTCTTACCCACTCATACATCACATCACATCAAGAAAAGCGTTTCCTACAAAACGCCTTATGAAGTGTTTTTTGTCCATTTCGAATGAAAACGATCTTATCTTGCTTAATAGCATAAGGTATTAATGCCATTTTTGTATCCTTAAAAACTATGGAGATTAGGGAATATATCTATTATCTCTCAAGCAGGCAATGATGAAGTTGGTATAAGTAGCAAAAATACATAATTTTCGAAACTTTGTTACAGTCTTTTTTAATAATCTTTTATGCTTTTTACATTATTGAATTGTTCCCAACAAAAATTACATTTTCATTCAAATACAAAAAAATTACCAGTACTCTCCTGAGAAATTAAGGTTGTGGTGAATTCAATTTTAAAATCAATATTCTATTAAACTTTTAAAGAAATTACAATACAATCAGATTAAAAATATTAAATCACGAAATGTATTAAAAGCCCTGTCACATCTCCAGGCAACCATATAATTATCTAAAGTATTTTTTTATTTTAAGGTTTTCCAATATAAACGGTGGAATGAACATCAAAAGTTGTTTTTTTTTATTAGACCTTCACTGTAAAGTCAAGGAATTATACCGTGTTTAATAGATTAAATATCGATTTCGACCCATCACTTTTCATCACATCTGATTATAAATGGATCATTATAAAAATGTCCTGTCACTGGAAAAACTTCACAGATTATTTCACATCATGATTTTTGAATATAACAATTGATGCAGTCTTCAACCGGTCATTCCTGAATAAGAAATCAAACTGCCAGACATGATACTTGTACAAGAACAGCTTAAACTTTTCCTGCTGTATGCATGTCTCATGAGCGTAACATGCGTAACACAATATAGAGAAGAACTTTACTTTAAAACCGCCGTTTCTTTCCCGGAAGAACATCTATATATGAATGAAATAACAATAGAAGAGAGACGCTCGGTGGTAGAATGCGCACTTCTTTGTGCAGAGACTGAAGACTGTCGTTCAGTGTTCGGTTGTAAATTAGAAGGAGAAATTATATGCACACTTTTTAACCAATCATATGTATATGAGATGGAATTCAATTCTTCAACGTGTAAACATTACACAAAGGTATGCTTTAATTTAAATTATAATGCTATTCTTGTACAATTGACAATGCAATTTCATTTTGATAAAATAAGTGCATAGCATTGTTAAGGCTTGAAAAAAGGGAGCGGGGCCAAATTTATACGGGAAAAGTTTACTGTGACGTCATTCAAAAATATAACTTTTAATTTATTTCTCATAATACCTGAAAATGAAATGATTTGCAACTTATAACTGTATTAGCATAATAAACAACAATAAAACTTATCAATGCATTGAAAACGTTGCTAGTTAAATCCCATGTAGCTGGTTATAAACAAAGCACTGATCGCGATGAACTTGTAAACATGACGTCATTTTGGTGAAAATGACGTATTTCGTGTGCTGTGAGAGGCAGATTGGGGATTTTTTTAACAATGAAAAATGCGTTTTATTATTAAACGGAATATCATTTGCAGGTTTTAAATAGTCATTTAATACTAATGTATAGCATTTGTTTAGTGCGATTATTCATTAACTATCCAGAGAATGTATGTTATAAATTATGTCGTGTTTTTATGTACAGGTTACATATATTTTACATCGAGATGCCTCATAAAATCGAACTTTCGCAAGGGCATACAATGCATAGATCTTAACCATTTTTGAATATAGATAAAGGATATTTTTCTTAACTTGAAAAGTGCTGCTGCTTTCTTTAAGTCGAGGGCGTGATTTTATAAGTTCACAAAATATTTGGAAAAGTCAAGCCTTTTTCGACATTAGCCTATTTACTTTAAAATTTAACTATTGAAACGCAAATTCAATTCAAAGCAGCAGCACTTTCCAGAAACTACAAAATATACAGAATTAATAAGTAGCTTGAATTTTTAATTTCAATTAGGGTATGCCCTTGCGATATTGAAATTTGTTAATGACCTACATTCAGTACACGTACTATGCATTCATCACGTGACTGTCCATCGATGGGACTAAACTTCATGCACTAAAGAGAGGGTTATATAATGCTATTTCCATAAGTATTTAAGTTATGTGATAATTATACAGCTTAATTAAAATAAATTCAGTTTTTAAAAAATCCCCTTTTTTGCACGTCTATTTTCCGTTGATTTCTCATAGTAGGCCATAACAGTGCTGCGTGATCTGTGGAACTTCTCATTCCTTAACATTTTCCGTATACTGTCGTGAACCATGCTCACAGTTTTTTGTACAATCGCAGAATTTCTAGAAAACCACCTTCACTCTCCATTTTCGTAAACAACAAGACACTTCAAATTAGGTATGTTGCACTTTGCCACATATGCAACTTTAATTATAGAAAAAAAATTGTATTTAAATATGTAATAATTGGTCAAATTATCCATAAAATAAAATAAAAAACATTATCAGTATACAAAATTCAGACAAAAGTTAATTGTACACTTAGATAGCACGGCTTCAGCCGTCAAAAATAATTTATCACTTCCGTAGTGTACGCAGTGATATCATGTTGACATACGCATGTAAATATACTTGGCCCGTGCTGGCCACAAGGGCTTTAACCTAGATAATCTAAAGCGGACTAAATCTAATAGAAATTCTTTATCATGCCAAATTTAATTTAATCAAGTCAATGATCATGAAAGCAAAATAAATAATCAGTATTGATATAATCATTTAGGAATGAAAACGTAATATTTACTTTTCCTGCAGTTAGGCTTACCATCGCTACTACAACAGCGATTATCGGTCCGTTTTTTTTTTTTATTTTACAGCACCGAGTTAAGCATGAAGACGTGGGAGTTGAAGAAAGCAACAACCTCCAAAAAGATCAGATAACCACAACACCTGCAGCCGAATTAACAACAACAACACATACTTCGTGTGAAAATCAAGTCAATCCATTGGTAGTGAACAAAGGAAACGCAAGTTTTGGTAGGGTTTTGCTCTTCAGTAAAGATTTGTCCTTGTTGTCTGAAAAACGGCAATTATAGCAATAACAATAACAATGAACATGTAATAATAAAAATATACGTCATTGTATCGTCATTTTGTAATCCGTCCTGTATCAGTTTCCTTGAATTTTCGTTTTAATTGAGATTCATATTAATTAGTTTATATATGGTCATTGTTTTCAAAGAGATGGGGGGGGGGGGCTACCTTTCTGGAGGAAAATATTTTTCCAGTATATATACATACTGTTCCAGTAGTATAGGAATAATTCGTTTTGTTTGTTTGTTTGTTTGTTCTTTGACGTCGCTCTCGAGAATTTTCACTCATACATATATGGAAAGGGTACCATCTGCCGGTGGAGAGCTGCAAATTGTGACATGTTCTCTGCACATACGGCCATTGAGCATTAAGAATCATTTTGGTGCGACTGCAACACATGTCCTCAGTTTGTACGGTCTCATCAGAAAGGACACGTATTCCTCTTATTCAAACCTGCGACGTTAGGATCGACTTCTAGACGCTCCAATCACCGCCTCAAGCGGGCCACAATAATTGGTTGAAATGTGAGATTTAAAAGAAATCTGCATGATGTTAACATTGGGTTCCTTATTTAAATATGTCGTAATTTCCTCTATAAAATTGAAGCAGAACGAAAGAAAGACCTGAGTTGCAACTCATGAATCGCATTAAAATACACTGACAATAAATGAGATTTATATCTACTAGTATGCAGACGATTGTGCAGAAAACCAATCGGCACAAACTAACAGACAGACAGAGAAAAAGAATAATGGGCAAAAAATACAAACAGAACGTTTCACCTGAAAGAGTCTCATAAAAAATTTTAATTGAAAGATTATGTTCTACTACGGTGTACAAAATATATCACGAATATAACTTTTTTATCCTTCATGAAATTTTAATGATCAAGTTTTATTTTTAAGGGTGCCGTGACTGCGATTGCATTTTTGCTAAAACCCAAGTGTCGGGAGAGTATATAATTCATTTGGAAGACTCCCTTGTAAGAGTATATTGCGAGTTCCGAAATGGACGATCTTGGACAGTATGTATTGACAGATACTTTCAAAGAAAGAACAAAAGATTAATTGATTGTTTTTTTCCGACCTATACGAATCATAGAGCCAGAGCTGTACTAAATTATCAAACGCATTAGTTAGGAACAAAAGTGGGAAGATACGACACTGAAAAAAAATAAATAAAAATGATATTTATAGATCAAGATTGAAAGATTTTCCAAACAAACGAAACCTTGAAAAATGGATTTAATGCATTTCATAATTTTGCCTATTTTGTATTATCGTCTCTATGACTTGAGTAAAGCCTAATAAAAATTTAAAATGATTTAAACAAATCGCGTAAACTGCATCAACTCAGGCAATACCAGAATTATTGGTAAAGTAATTTAATTTATCCTCAAATAATTTAATTAAAAAAAATATATTTTCATCAGTAGTATGTTCATAATCTCTGTATTTCAGAGATGAAGATTTTGAAATCCCATATGCTTGTTAATCAAGTATTCACCTTTTTATGACCACGATTGTAAAACGTCAAACGTCAAACATTTCCATCGGAAAAAATGCAATATATAATATTTTAATTCAAAAACGGATTTTACTGTTACTTAAAGAACGGAGCATACGGCGGTTGTGACGGGTCGCTAGAGGATTCTCACTCCTTCATAGCACCTGATGCCATCTTTGATGTTTTGGAGGTTCGTGTTTGCTCCAATTTTATTTTGTAATATTCAATGGAATTTTGAGTTCGAATACTGTCAGTTATATATTACATTTTTTTATCTCAACAGGTTATTCAAAGACGTATGAACGGATCAGTTAGCTTTAAAAGAAACTGGAAAGAGTACTCTGAAGGATTTGGTTGTTTAGAAACAGACTTTTGGATTGGTAATCCAACAAGTTCAAAATTATTAATTATTAAATATTACTTTTAATAGTATATTGAAGTGATCTAAACTCAATTAACATTTATAAATACAGTTGATGATTTTTTTAAGATTTAATAAATGCTATTATAATATGAAAAACTGGACATGTAATTTACAATGAACAGGTTTTTTTTTCCTTAATTGAATTATTGATTGATTGTATATTGTTTAACGTCCCTCTCGAGATTTTTAAAAACCCATATGGAGACGTCACCATTTGCCGTTGAAGGGCTTCAAATTTAGACCTAGCCTCAGCACTCAGGGTCATTGAGCGGTGATGGTTCTTTATCGTGCAAACGCCTACCGTGATACGGGACCTACATTTTATAAGGTCATATCCGAAAGACACGTGACGTTCACCTCTAGTTCCGAGCGCTTGGATAAGGAGCAGTCACTTCCTATGTTTACGTCTTAGGTATGATGTGGAGCCGCGAACGAGAATCGAACACGACCTTACATGTACCGATCACAAAGCGAACTCTCACCACTAGGCTACCGTGACCGGTTCTTTCATTGACCATAGTTGAGAATAACATGCATGCCTATGACTGATAAATATAATCAATCTGTCTGATTTTATGAAAATATTTATATTATTTGAGGTGTTAGTATTAAATTTTCTTGGTAAAAGTTTAAATTTATCACCTACGGCAACAAAACTTGAAACGTTACCCGCAGTGATTAGAGCGTACATGTATGTTCTAGAGTCGCGAATAAAGGAGTTGATCCTTGGTTTGAATCTCACTGTGGGATATGAAGACCGGTCTATTGAATGAGACCTAATAAACCGATGTCCCGTATTGCAGTGGGTGCTGTACAAAATAGATCCCTCTCTTTTAAATGACTATAAGTGCCGAGTATAGGACAAAATATGCAGCTCTCCACCGGCAAGAAGTAGAGTCTCCTAATAAATAAAGATATTTTGAGAGGAACAGTAGACAATACAAACAAAACGATCAAAACAAAAAAGCATAAAACGGGTTAATGCACTCAACAAGAACTGCTGGTAAGAAGTTGGTTGTGTATGATACAATATTATAAAATTACAAGTTTTCAAATATTTACATATTTCAATTATTCAACGTTTTTTACTTTCTTTGAATTAGGAAACGATTTTATTCATGGTCTGACCAAAAATGGTCACGTACGTCTGATAATAGACCTGGAAGATGACAATGGTGTTCATTATTATGCGCACTACTCAGATTTTGCAATTGGGGATGAGACAGAAAAATATAAATTATCCGTGAAGGGATTTTCTGGTAACATATGTAAGTATCATTCAAAACACATTCTGTGTTTTTTTTTTACCCGCAAACTAAGCTAGAATCCTTTGTATTTTACTTATAGAATACATTTCTTTTGAAAATCAGTAAGGTTCAAGCAACATTTTATATGAGGGAACAGAAGGTTAATGAACCTGAACTGATATATAAGTCTAAATAAAAATACATGTATAAAGGACCATTCAGAAAAAAAATTGATCTATATTAATGGACAGAATTAAAACTGTCCGATGCAAAAAATGTTTAACTGCTATAGAAACAACTCTCCTGATATCTATTTCAAATGCGATTGTTCTTTCTAGATAAATAATTAATTGCACAAAATTTGAGTATGAAGAGAACAAGAAACCTTTTGTAAAAGATTGCCCAAATGTCAATATATTTCTGTACATTGTTTTCTAAAAAGAAAGCTTTAAAAAGGCCAGCTTATTCTGTTTCTTATTAATATTCATGTAGATCTTTATAATTAGTAACACTAACGTATCTACTCGCGATTTAATTCCATCGTGTTATGATACAATCATGATTTTCATACTTGTGTTTAATCTGAGAAAGAGTAAATGTCATCATTTTTGCCACATGCCTTGGATTTTAAGAAATATGACAAAGTATTCAAAATACTTTTAAGAAAGTATCTGGTTAAAGGTTTTCAAAGCCCTCTGTAAAGCATTTTCTTACCTCAAAAAACAAAACCACTCTCGGTATTTTTCTGCATCAGCAACAAAGCAACAACAGCCGTGAAATAAGTAATGTTAAGTATTTTGTCAACAAGAACTCAATACATGTAGTATCAGTAACTATCAAACACATTAACACTGTATACAGGGTTATTTTCGCCCCATGTTATTTTTTCCCATTTACACTTGCTTACGATTTGCCTCGTTTAAAACTCACCCAGTCCCAGTTCTGTTTAAGAATTTATACTGTGTAATTTGAATTCGCTGCGTTTTAAATTCCTCCATCTGTGACAAGGGCGAAAGGGACGAAAATGAACCAGGGCGCGAAAATTTTCCTGTATACATTATCCCGTATTCTCAGCACTTTATGTTTGCAAATAGTGACCTTTAAATGGTATCCTGAAGTAATTAGAGTAATTAAAATTAATTGATGTTGCATTTGTAATTCGTACTTCTACATTTGTTGTAAAAATACCTCATGAGATTAATTGTTCTGTCTGTCTTTCTTTTCCAATGAAGTTGATGCTTTTGGATCTGTGTGTGATACGTATTGTCACAACGACATGAGGTTTTCTACCTACGATCAAGACAACGACGGAAGTGCAAGAAAATCATGCGCAGAAAATCACAATGGCTGGTGGTTTAACGATTGTTATCGCTGTGTCCTAAATGATGAAAGAATTGGTTGGTGGGCACCGGACACTGGACTTCTCATTTTCAAAAGTGTCAAAATGGCTCTTACTAAGCCACTTTAACGTAGAACCTACGTCGTATGACATCATAACTAGTGAATGTGTTTAGCCTGTGCTAATCCAATGTCACTTTTCCCCGTACTTTACAGCTTAATTCAATAGCATTTTGAAAATCACAGAGTTCAATTCAAAATTATATTAAAATAATCTTAATTAAACTTATATATTTTTTTGGTTATATGCTTAATGACAATTTATTTCTGTATTCAGAGAAATCTCTAGGCACCTTTCATTTACTAGATCTTGATCTTAATTAAATTGATAAATCCAAGACTATCTTGTGTAGTGAAATTACAATGTATGCAACTTACTGTAATAATGTGAATTGTATGTAGCCATTTTGAAGGAATGCAAAAATCCTAAGAAATCTTCAGTAGCCAACTAAATCTTCAGTTGCCAACTAATTATATAAATAGTGTAATACCGGGTATATTGATGATATGTGTTTAAGTCAAAGATGTACGTTTTTAGATCGTGCGATCGTTCGTACATTTTTGTGATATCTATCATGAGTTGATGCGCATTCCTTTTCATAATTATTTGCTACTTACAGGTATTCTTGGTGTTTGATTACAATGATTACAATTTTTCTATTAAATATGATATTTTTAAGTAAAAGTACAAATTTTGGTAAACAGTTTTAATATGAAAGTACATGTAACCTCAAACAGACATTTAAGAAATAAGTACCGTGTAAGTGCAAAAAGGTCAAGAATATTAGCATCGGTTAATAACCTATGTCTCATAAGTTAGATTGATTATATATTGTTTAACGTCTCTCTCGAGAATTTTTCACTCATATGGAGACGTCACCGTATGCAGGTGAAGGGCTTCAAATTTTGACCTTTACTCGGCACTCAGGGCCATTGAGCAGTGAGGGATCTTTATAGTGCCAACGCCTGCCGCTGACACGGGGCCTCGGTTTTTAAGGTCTCTTCCGAAGGACCCGCAACTTTCACTTCAAAGTGCCGAGCGCATGGCGAAGGAACAGTTGCTACCCATTTTATCGACTGGGTCAGTTGGGGCCGAGATACGAACTCACGACCTACCGATCACGGAGCAAGCGCTCTACCGACTGAGCTACCGTGAAGGCGAAAGGTATATATTTTAATTTTTAGAACCATTTGGGTATGTTCTTCATCATATTAAAGATTGAAAACATTGTGACAAAGACGTCTGAAAAATATTTACAAATGAAGGGTGAAAAATTGACTGAAAAATAGACTTCTATTTGCCTTTTTCTTTTTTGAATTTTGACTTTTCTTTTATGTCAATGGAATAAAAAAGAAATTATTCTTTAGAAATATTGCTTAATATTATTCAGTTAATAAAGTCTATAAACGACGATGTTTGAAGAGGTATTTTTGTGAATTTTCATTTTCTCTTCTTGACAAGTACCCCTAAAATGTGTTGTCGCAGTATGTAATTACAATACCAAGTTTCACAGGCTGTAATAGATTTAAAAACAAGGAAACATATCATGAGCTTTTGACTGATTGATAAGCAAGTACTAATTTATGATTTTGGAAAGTTTGAAAATCTTGTGACAAAGACTTTTCCGACATAGGTTCTACCTTAAGATGAATATAATGCGGCGTTCTTTATAAAAACCCTTAAAGTATTTGCAAGATGAAATGCATAGCAGAAATGTCATAAATTTATTAATTTTTTTTGAAGATTAATTTCCAATCAAAGCGCTAACGTATTTTGAATTAAAACATTCAAAGAAGATGTATGTGATAACAATTTTAATTTTTTGTGTGATTTTTGTTTTATTAAGGCTGACATTTGGTTGATTCATCATAAAAGTCATATATTTGAAATATTCTACAGAATAGACCAAAATTATTCTGTTCCATGCTTTAAAGGTACTTAAAACATAACCGTAGACCATACCCCTTACCCCTCTTTCATAAAAAATAAGAACAACTCAATATAAATTCGTTTCTTTCAACAAAATGTAGAAACGTTCAATAGTTGTGCGCTACTCTTTGTGTTCCATGGGTAGAAATGTTATCGATGATTTTATTTTGAGATGAAATCCGAATATCAGTGTATTGCCAACGATTTTTATATCAACATTTGAAGTATCCCTCTCTTAGGAATTACAAAATCGCTGTAATTACATTCTCCTATAGCATTTAATACAATTTTCAAAGAAAAACTGACTCGATTTTCGTCTCACTTAATTTATTCGGTTTTCGTAATTATTAGACTAGTATATCCCAGAAAGAAAATAATGCTTTGCTTGTTAAAAATGTGAATTAAAGAGAAAAAATCTAGAATGTTCCTTTGATAATTGTTCCGTTTGAAAGGTTTTAGACTTCCAAGGTAAAATTCATAAATATCTAAATCTATTCAACTTTTCTAGCGGATAATATTATAATCAAAAAAGATTATAAGAGCTTCGATGAATAATCTTACCATAATCATTACTTTTATCAAAAAAAGATTTTTAAAAAATCTTATAAAAAATTTTTTGCATGAACAAAAATTCGAAATGTGACTTAAATATACAAAAAATAATAATCCTTGTCAGACTCTACTTGCCTGACATGAATTCGTTCAAAGTCAAAGGAATTTTTGTCATGTATGAAATGAATAGATAGCAGATGCAGAACAACAATAAGTCTTTAAAAAAAGCAGATTTAAAAATAAAGCAGTTGAAAATAATTCATCTGATGGATTACTTGCAATGATATTTTCTGAAAACTATGCCATGCTTGAAAATAATTCGGTCATGACAATGCCATTTTTCGAAAGATTTTTAACTAAACTATGTGTCTTATTCTATGCTTGGGATATTGTACACAGTGTTATATTTAATAATTCTATTTTATCAAAAATGTTCCATGACCTTTGTGATAAAATTTCAGATGAAATGTCAAAATAAAAAAAAAAACAAATTAAACTATGAGAATAAAAACATCAGTCCCATTTTAGCAAATTTTATGAAATGATTTTTAAAGAAATTCTTAAGCGTAATAAAATTTCAAATCTTAGCTAAAGTTAGAACACCACCCAAAGCACAAACAAAAAGGACTGCACTGGGCTCTTAGTGTTACCTTACAGTTTGACTTTTTGATGATCTAGAATTGCCTTATACAATCAAAGGATTTTTTAGAATTTTTTGTGCTGGTATACGTTCTCGGGGACATAAACTTTCAAAATTATGTAGGCACGGGGCGTTTTTCTCTGAATTTGGAGAAAAATTTATCCAACATTATAATACATTTATACAGATGGTTAAAAGATGACTGTTATGTTAAAAACTAGCTATTCTTAAAGATGGTTGCACCGCAGACCTGTTAAAACACATGAAGCGATTATAGAAAGTGAACGAATATTAAATATTTAAGAAAAAAAACTAGCATATTACAAAAACTAGCAAGTATACTTGATAGCGATAGTCTTATATTAATAAATAAATCCAAGAATGACTGCTAGAAAAGTCAGCACAAAGAGAAGTTGACCATGTAAGATTCGTTGAATATTTTAATGCAGGATCCTTTCTTGTTGCCATTGACTTTCATGTGATCCTTAATCTTGTGCAGTTAAAGTATGAATAATGCGAGTATTTATTAAGTTACTATAGATATCCCCTAAATATAGCGAGGAAATAAGATATGAATTCAAACAAAATACACCATGTACATGTTACATCATCAATGATATGCAATTTTTACTGTGAATACTAATTTCATTTTTCATTAATTTTCATACAAATAAAAAAAGATCTTTACTGTTCAACAAGCATGCATGCTCTGTCTTGAGTTGAATACGCAAATTCTGTTTTGCATTTTTAATAAAATCCTTTATAAGTTTAAGTAAAGTTGAATGATGACAATTTTAGTTTCATTTGAAATACAGTTTGTGGTCGTATTGTTTAGCCTTGAAGTCTTTATAAAAATACCCTTCTTAGCATCTTTTCTGATGTTAATACCTACATAACTCTTTTAAAACGTTTCTGGTTTTTCTGTTATTAAGAGAGTCGTAAGCGTATAATTAGCAATGAAAGATAAACTAGTTCAGCTATGAAAATCATATAATGCATCTTTAAATGTCCAGGCAGAACAATTTTGAAGAAACATTGTAAGAAATCAGTATGTATGAACGGTAATAGATGCAAGTTTATTTCGAGCATTTCATTATGAAGGGGATGAAAAAGATGAACATTAAATGTGCAGTGAATTTTTATTATGCAGAAATAATCCTTGTGGTCAAATTTCATTTTACTTGAAACATCAAGCATGGTACATTATGTTAATTCACAGACAAAAAAAAGTGTAGTAAAGAATATATATCAGCCCTAAGATACGACAGATAACTATTTAAATTAATAAAAAAAAATCGTGTTTCTAAATAAACATTTATGATCCCTTAATGCAAACTTCAGGTTTTCAGATATTTTTGCTTATTGCTCATCAGTGTTAAATATTCAAAAGTATTTCGAATATACAATTTCATTAATTTATTGAAAGACTAGTTTTCAAAAACGTAATTTAAGATATACATTGATTTCATTTTTTTGTTAAGATAATAAGAATAGGCTGTGTTTTTTTCTTCAACTAACTGTTAGCAGAATAATGAAATCTGCAAAATTAGTAGGTGTTCATATGATACCAAGTGTTTTTCCAATTTTCACCATGAAAATCTAGAAAGGTTTACGGACGTATAAACCTTTCATTAACATGCAATTAGTGACATGTGACCCAAATTTCAATCATGCATACATGTATACAGCATTACCAAAAGGGTTGGTTTAAGGTCTATATTCAAATATAATTATGTTAAGGTCTATAATCAAATATAATTAGTAAAAATAAAGAAAATGTTACTGAAAAAAAAAGGTTTTGCCTTTTGCATTATTAGCATCAATATCTTACCTTAGGCATTGTCCTTGTCAGAACTTCCCTTTTGTTGCAGAACTTAACCAGACCGTTTTAACCTCCCGGGTGACTTATTAAAACTTAGTCCCGATATTAAAAGATATCGAAGCTTTAAATGCATTTTCACGTTCCACTTACCATTGGTCAAGCATGTGTGACACATAATTTAAAATTTGAAAACAGAACAAAAATTTAAATTCCCTTTTACGATACGAATATCGATAATGCTTTTACTCAAAAACAGGTATGTACCGCAGAAATATTCAGCTGAATATCATCCGTTAACTTTTTATTTTACAAGAATATTTTTCCTTAATTTTTCTCGCAAAATATTCTAGTTCTAGATCATCTCCTTCAGAAAGCAAATTTGAACATTTTATGCTGAATAAATAGCATCGCTCAAAAAAGTAATATAACTTGCTTTTTAGAAAAATGTCCAGTGAAATGTGAATAGTAAAATTCTT